AGCCACTTTATAATTAGTGAAAACGGGCAAAGCGGAGCCTCCCCCAATCGCCGGCGGGCCCCGGCTGACGCAGCGCCCACGAAATCCCCCGCGACGCCCCTGCCCCGCTCCGAGCGGCGGGGGGGGCCCCGGGGGGCAGGGAGGCAGCGCTTTGCGTTTCTGTCTTTCCACTACTTTATTTTCTTTTATTTATTTATTTATCTATTTATTTCCCTCCGTGCTGCCCTGCTGGAACTGCTGGCGCGGAAGCTTTTGAGGAAATTCTCATCACTGATGTGTTCTCCCCCTGGCCTCTGATGTGACCTGTTGAGCTTGGGGAAGTGAGGCTTGATAGAACAAAGCAGTGGGGAAGGTTTTATATTTAAAAAATATCAGGTTTTCATAAGTATGGAGGGTCCTGCCTTGTTTTGGCATTTTCTGTGACACGGAAAGCGCACCTGAAGGAAGCAGGCAGAGGCAAAATCTCAGGTAACTCCGAGAGATCCTCAGCCCTCAGCTTGGGCACATCGCTGCTCTGCTCAGCTGGACACCCTGGCGGAGCAGATTGGAGCGGTGACACCCGTCTCCAGCACCCCCTGTTTGCAAGTGGCTCTACCCTAGCTGTGCCAAGTGCTGGTTCTTGGGTTGTCAGAGGCCACCTTGAGACTAAAGTTATTTCTAGTTGGTTGATATTTGTATCTTCTTTCATTATCCTTATGTTCAAAGAGCACTGATGTCCGTCCTGCTGCTAGAGGGTATCCGTTTTCCTTCTCAGCCTGCGTTTTGCTGAGCTGAACTTTGCTGCCATGCTCGTCAGCTTGCTCTCCTGAGGTGGACCCTTCCCATGTAGGTGTTCTTGGCACTAGTCACACATGGAGTTCATCATTTTGGGGCATGGGTGCTGGGAACTGTACATATTATTTCAGAGGAAATTTCTTTAGGGCATGAAGTTGTAACTATCTCCCCAGGAGGATGAAGGCAACTCAGCTTATACCTCCTCTGATCTCATTTGCCTTTTCCAATGCTGCAGTACTCTGGTGTCTCATAGTCATCTTAAGACTGTGATGCAGCCAGGTCTTCGTTCTTCAGAAGTATCATGAAATCTAATGCTAGTACAGTATGGAAATTGTACTTTGAGCCACCTGTTCCTCTTTACATTACCAATCTGACTCAGATTAAAGAGGCTTGGAAGGATGTCTGTCTTGTCAGAAATATATAAATTTAAGCCGAAGATACAGCTCCTGTGTATGGATCAGGGCATGTGAGAGGAGAATGAGCCCCCTGTTTATCCAGTAATATCAGCCAACTTCGTAAGTGAAACCTCAAGAGAAGAGGTGGTTGTTTTAAGCATCATCGCCGTGGGTGTATTTGTGTGAGTGATGTGAGGGCTGTGGATGCAGAGTGAGGAGCTCACGGCACTGCCACTGGATCAGCAGTGATATCTCATGCCTTTGCAGCTGCCGGCTCCTCGGGGAAGGAAGGTCTTGGCCCTTTTGTCTGGGTAGATACTCAGGGTTGCACTGACTGACTCTGGAGTGATGCATTTAGCGCCTCCTTTGCTGTAGAGGGAGCTTTTCATGCTGGGCTTCATCAGAGGAGTCCTGTGGGTTGATTCGTGCTGATGGGCTCCTGCGTAGAGCCTGCCCAGTGAGCACCGTGCTCTGCCGTGTCCTTCCTTGCTCTGTTTGATGTTACCCACAGTGTTTAATGTGGTACTGAGGAAAGCCCAGGCAGCACCAGGAGCTCTGTGTATACAGAGGAGCAGATAATCCTTGCAGATAATCTATGGTGAAAAAGGTACAGGATGAAGAAAGGGCAGAGCATATAAATGGTCTAGATAAAAGGTGTGTCAAATTCTATCTAGAAAAAGAGTGACGGAGAAGGTTTTTCCTTGCAGTGGATAAATCTCATGGCCACTGTTGAGGATCAAGGAAAAGAGTGAGAAAGAAAGATAGGCTAGGTGTGAAATACAGCAGTGCAAAAACCCTGTAGAAAAAAGGAGAAATCTGTGCACAGTCATATTGGGCAGAAGACATAACAGTCATGGCTGTTATGGTCCTGAAAGCTCTCCCCCCCGCCACATGCCCTGTTTTACCTGCTTTTCTGGATTCTCTATTGTTTGAATCTTCGTCTGATTCCTTTCTATTGCTGCTTCTCACTCTAACTCCTCGTGCATGCATGTGTAGCTGAACTGCCAGTGCCTGAGAGGGCGGGGAGCAGGGGGAATGTCCCCGGTGGAGTTTTGTCTTACCCTTTTCCTGGCAGCTGTAGCCTGTCCTGCTTGGACCGCTTCTACTCTTACCTACTGCACAGATTTTCCTCCTTCCTCCCGAAAGATGCCAATATTCACAGAGAATGAGTAGCAATGCAGAGCAGAAGTAATTAAAGAAAAGAAGATATTGATTTGAAGAGGTCACTCTTCTTTAGTGTCAGGTGAAGATTCTGCCCATTCTGGATTCAGCTTTCTATGGAGAAAGAATCCTTTGCAGGGAGAAGCTGAAGAACAGGAGGCATTTTTGAAACCTTGGGCAAAATGCTACATAGCAAAAACTACATAACAAAAGTTGCTCACTCTAAGAGAGGGGATAATATTTCCTCAGCCACAGAGGACTGAGATACCAACAAATAAGGCATAAAAAGAACACTCTTCGTGGCAGTAAAGATGATGACTTCTTGTTCCCTGCTAACTTGGTAATAAGTCTATCCTGGTGCTGATAAAAACCCTGGCTTTTATATAATCCAGAATTGTCTCAAACAAGAACAGCTTTCCGTCCGTCATCTAACCATGTCAGACAAAATAAAACTGTTTGTGTTGCAGTTGAGCTTGCACCCCCTGGGAACCCTATGTGCCAGAACTTGTCCAGAATCCCAGTCTTAATCTAGGAAAAGGTGAACAGAAGGTGAAATCCCCTTCACTTTACCGATACAGAAATGAGGCATAGAATTTGAATAACTTTGCAAAGTTGTGTGAAAGGAGAGCAGCAGGGTTAGACTGAACCTCTCTCTTTGTTCAACTCCATATCAGTATCTTCATGCAAGCCCAGCTTTCCTTTCCAAACTATCCTCATTATGCTAATCAGGTTACTACAAAATCATTAAATGAAGATAGATTTATGAAAATCCCCCGAGCAATGCCTCTTATAACACAGAGCCTTTTTGATGGACTCAAGGAATTTAAACCAGTGAAATAAACATGCTGATCATCCCCCGAGCAATGCCTCTTTTGATGGACTCAAGGAATTTAAACCAGCATGTTGTGTTGATTATTTTCTTCAGCTCAGTGCAAAAGGTCACAGCATTTCTTAAGACCAAAGTGTCAGGTTCAACTTAGTTCAGTTTAGATGGGCTGAATTTTTTATTGGACCATAAATAGCTACTCTCAGATCTGAGAAAGGCATTGGAGGTCAACCTTCCTGTACCAAATTTAGCATCAAAATAATTTACGCACACAAGATATGCATTGCTTCTTTTTAAATAAATTTATTAAATTATGTCTAATGTATGTAGGTAGGAAATGTAATAGAAATACTGAATTATACAGTCATTATGGCATTGTTCAGATCGTGCTTATATGGGACAGAGATGTTCCAGTCCTTCCCGTACCTCTGTGTATACCTTAAGATACAGATATATTATTTAGGTTATGAAGGATGAAATCAGTAGTGTTGTATGAAGAACAGGAATGCTAAACTTCTAATCTCAACTAAAGCAGGAGCTTATTAATATTTTTTCACCCTTGAACAAGTTACATATTTTTCAGGAGGCAAAATGGGTGAATATCTAACTGCAATAAGGAAGTGTTTTCACTGAGAGAACACCAACAACTAATCATCCCTTCCTTGGGGCTGACTCTGCACAATCTTGTGAAGGGGAAAAGATATTTCTTACTTTATTCTCTGAAAGAAATAAAAAGTGTGATGTGCATTCAGCATAATCTTACTGCAAATTCTTTTTTTTTTAAGTGTCTTTGTTTACCTGCAGCTGTGTGTGTGTATATAAATATAAGTATATAAAAGACTTGAAAATAAGAACAAATAAGAACTGTTCCATGGAGAGACATGGGGATTTCATGTTATTGCACGCTTCTCTGTTTCCTCACAGATGCACATATATATGTATCCACCCAAGTAATTTTGAAATCAGTCTCAAACTGCAGTAAGTAGAATGTGCTGCATAGTAAGTGTGCAAAATAATAATAAACTATGCAAAATCCATACTTGTTATAACAGCATTATGTTGTTCTTTTCAACAGAGACCAGGATAAGGATATTTGCAATAACATCTGAATAAAAAGTAGCAAAATATATTATGGTGGAATCCAGGCACAATGATTATTATTTGAAACAATATCTATGCCACATGACTGGAGTGATTTATCATAATTTTTAATTAAGAAAGCTTATCCGTAAATTGCAAAGGAAATATTAGATTTCAT